GGGAGCAGTTCTCGTTCATGGCCAACACGGAGTGGCGCGAGGATCCGGACGATTTGCAGCTTGCTATGGACAAGAAGACGTTCGAGCGGTGCCTGGTGCCGTCCGGTGGCTCTCGACATGCGACGCCGAACTTGATCCACGACCGGATGTTTTCATTCTACGATACCAACAACGACGACCTCATTGGCTTTACTGAGTTCCTGCATGGGCTGGCATACCGCAAACGAAAGGACAAGCTGCGTAAGATCTTCGAGGGCTACGACATTGACGGGGACGGTTTCGTCAACCGCCGCGACTTCTTGCGCATGTTCCGCGCGTACTATGTTCTCTACAAGCAGATGCACCGCGACATTCTCGACGGGCTGGACGACCAGCTCATGGGCAGCACTGAGGCAATGCAATTGGTGGCCAGCCGCCAACCTCTCAGCAGTCTCTTTGGCCGAGAAGGGCGAGTGCCGCGCGCTGATGGGAACAACCGCAGCGAGGGCAAGATCTTCCACCCCAACGGTGACGTCGAACTGGAGCCCGGCAGACAAGGTGCTGTGAGCGAGGATAAGGGTGACACGTCGGCGAGAGAGGACGTCTTGACCCGACTTTTCGCACCGTACATCGGTAGCCCCTGGACCGTTCAGATGCGGTCTCCCGACAGTGAACCGGATACGCCTTACTGGGATGCTCTGCTGAACCCGCCTACAAGTATGGATGATCTGCCAGACCTGCTGAGTGGACAACGTCGCGAACGCAATGAGTTGGACTTTGACTTTGAAATTGAATTGGGCAGCTCGGACGGTGAAGAGGATGGAAACAACAACTCGGATGCGGAAAACAGAAGCTCCACCGGTGCTGTTATTGGCCAACCAAACGAGTCGGATAACAGGACCAGAAGAGTCGATTCAGAACAGTTTACTAGCACCATGCCTACAGAAAGCCAACTCCGAGCGCAAGTCATCAACCATAGGAGGCAGCTGGCACCGGATATTGAAAGAAGACGGCGACAAGCCGCAAGGAAGCAACTACACGACAGGTGGAAGAGGAGACAGTTTTACCTCGACGAAGAAGAAGGCGGCCTGGCACCCGATGGATGGCAGTCTGATGAAGATGTGCTTGTTAACAACCTCAATGGCGTCGCTGAGAGTTCCAAGGCAGCGCAGCAGCAGGTTCTGTCCCCACGCTCGAGATCATCTTCAAAGGTTCGCTTTGCGGAAGAATTGGACGACTACGAGATCAGATCCAACGCATCAGCATCTTCTAGGAGCGTTCCCGAGCGCTGGGGTGGTATGGAGATTCCAGACGAGGAGCGGGACGCGGGCAAGGAGATTCTTTACCAGGTCACCCAGCAGGCATTCAACGAGCTCCTCGACGCCATCTTCAAGGACAAGGAGGATCTGGCTATTCAAGCGGCCGCGTCCAGATCTCAGAGAGAGACGCACAGAGCTCTGTTTGAGAACCTCACCGTCGAAGAGACGAAGCCAAAAGTGACTGAACCGCGACAGCCACGCAAGGCGCTGGATGAGAGCAAGCCCATTGCCGAGCGATCCCTAGAAGAGCTGCTCTTGACTAGTGGCTACAGAGTTGAGGAAGCCGGCGAGGCTGAAGATACTCATCCTGCGGTAGAGGTCGAGCGTGTGATTGAAGAAATCGACGAAACGGATGAGGAGGGTGCTGAGGAGGAGGAAGAAGAAGAGGAAGAGGTGCCGGTCGTTGAAGAGGTCGAGTACCGCGACCCCACGATGCCCCAATTCCGTCCCAACAGCGCCGCCTCTATCGAGCCCCCCATCCCATCACTTACACCATCATCTTCGGCCGAATCAGTCAAGACGAAAACGAGGGACGCCAGGGCAGCTTCGAACAAGGATCGCGAGGGCAAGCGTGACCGCGCGGCGAAGGAAAAGGAAGGAATCTTGCATTCCAAGCTTGTGGAGTGGAAGCGCCTCGACATTGCAGAGAAGGAGGCCACCGAGCGCGGCGGCTGGGGCAAGCTCAGCTTCGAGGAGTTTGAGGACATTTACAAGAGCCAGGAGAACGCCGGCAACAGGCTCGACTACCTGGGCAGCTGGGTCGACTTCTGCATCCCCTAGAACGGACAAGACGACCCTGTCCCGGACAGGATATTCGAAGACGGCAACTGGGATTCCGATATGGATATGGATGACGACGACCTGACTATCACCACTATTGAAGATAGCGAGAGTTCCGATTCAATGAGCTAGTTGAACCCCAAGGAGGCGGAACTTCTTGGCTTGATTTGGAGTGGGAGGTCTTCCCCTGCGGCAATGATATGGTGATTGAGCGTGGGAGAAGTCGAGATGGAAAAGGGGCCGGAGCGCCCTTGTATTTTAGCCGTTCAAAATGGGGGTTCATGGTTCTGCGCATGAGTAGGCGTGGGCGGACATAGCGATAATGGTAAATATGCCTATTGAGCTTTTCTCGTTTATTGTGAAGCAGTACGTGGCACTGATCTGACATCGCCTGTCCAAACGCCGGAACCTCACACAACCAAAACCACTCAAGGGGCTAGAATCCTCCCTCCCTCCGTGAACAACGTCGTACCCGTCACATTCCCATCCTTCATCAGATACAAATACGCCTCCGCCACATCCTCGGGCCTGCCAATCCGCCCGGTGAGGCACTTGCTCCTGAATAGCTCCACCGTCTCCTCCGGCAGCGTCTGGAACAGCTCGGTGCTCACGGGGCCGGAGGACACGAGGTTCACCCGCACGGGCGCGAAGTCGACGGCCAGGCCGCGGACCATGCCCTCCATCGCGCCGGCGGCGGCGTCGGCGACGGCCCAGCCGGGCATGGGGCGGTGGGACGAGGAGCCGTTTGTGAAGGTGATGGAGGTGTCTGCGCTTGCTTCGATGTGCGCGTGGTTGCGGAGGATGGAGGCGAGGATGAGCGGGGCGTAGGCGCGCATGGAGAGCTGGGCTGTGATGTCTGCGACTTGGGTCTCGGGGAAGGGCGGGAGGGGGGATGCGCCGTCTGCGGCGTAGATTATGTGGGTTATCTTGCTGAGGCCGTTGGAGGTTGCGGTGTCGAGGAGGGTGAGGAGGTTTTGGCGGAGGTTGGGGAGGTCGGAGAGGTCTATTGTGAGGGTTTTGATTGTTGTGGAGGAGGGGGGGAGGCGGGAGGCGGCGGCGGCGAGTTTGGTCGGGTTGGAGGAGACGAGGGTTAGGATGGAGGGGGAGGAGGTGAGGAGGATCTGGGAGGCGGTGGTGTGGCCTAGGCCGGAGGAGCCGCCGAAGATTAGGATGTGGGTGTTGTCGAGCTTTGAGGGGGGCATTTTGGTGGTGGTAGTGGGAATGGTGAGGTTTTGGAGATGGTGAGCATGGTGGTGTTGGTTTACTTGGGGAAGAGGTGATCATTTATGTATTCGAGAACTGTGAAGTAGTCCACCGAGACGGACGAACGCAGCGATGAATATCAGACGGTCTGGTCAACTGAACTGACAGAGGTGCATATGGCGTCGTCGAGATGTAGCTTATTTGGTATTCGGATTTACTCCGTCCCATGCTGATGGAGCTGTCCGTCGAGGACAACCGCATATCCACGCCAGCCACTACTGGGCTCGGACACCGTGCGGACGAGGTTTCTAGATGGGATTATATCTCGTTCCTGTTCGCTGGTCAGCTTTGACGTTGCTAATGGTATGCTACGTCCCGGTGTAACTAAGACGTGCTTGTCCATCCCAAATCCGGGGGTCGGCCCCGCGCATCCCGCGGAGCGAACGCCGGTCAAGGCCCCGCTCGGCTCCGTGGAAGCCGCCGAAAGTCCGCCGAAAAATTGCCCTGTACGGGCCAAGAGGGCGCTGCACGAGAGCACAAGGCGCGGCCTTTGAACATTAAAATTTGACACTTTCCCCCCATCCCGTAGTTCTTCGATTTATTGAGTGAGCCCTTTCCCAAAGATTGGGATGATGGGCAGGGCCGGTGCGCGTTGCTCACTAACTATGCTCCATCCAAAGGCCGCTTGTTGTCTTTGTCTTACTATCCTTCTTCTTTTCTTTCCGGGTAGGCTGTGGAATCGTCTCGGCATCCAAGCCCATCAGTGACGCTGACATCACGGTAGCAGTTCTTGGCTTGTCTTCGGCATGGCAGTTTTGATGGAGCATCTATCCTACACGATGACATCTTACACGAGACGAGCCGGAACACCGATGCTAGCAACGCATGAGGGAGGATGAACCGGCCCTATCTACACGACACCACGCCGCGGACTTGGTCCGCCCGGAAGAATATCCCACATACGTCGAGGACAGTCCCAAACCAGCCGCCTAACCTAATGCCCCGACGAGTTGGAGCACCTTTGTACAGCCAGCTTTGAGGCACTTTATCAAACTCCCCTAGCCTCCGCAGGCGTAGGGGCAGAATCCCGCGGTTACGGACGTCGCGGGACGATTAAGCTTAACGCCAAGCCCGTCATGCTTGCATATGCCCACCCGAAATCTTCTCCGCGCCCTGAAATGACTCGCTGGCAGCGGCCTACGCCGTTGGCGCACGATCAACGTCTCCAGGATGATGAACACGACGATTTCAATCACCAACAGTGGCAATATGGTCGAGGACTTTCGTAATATGCAGTTTTGGAATTCGATGGGAGTTAAAGCCGACTGCTACCCTCCCATCATGTCACCAAAAAGATGAGCCCGACGGGAGAGCGTGAAGAAACCCCGCCGGCACTTACAACACAGCCACATCTTGAATTATATCCCACACCAGAGCCAAGTCCCCGGAGCAAACCGTGCCTGGCAGCGAATAAATGAGTTCAGATGAGATCGCCTAACCGTCTCCACAGCCCACCGGTTCGATCTCAGTGAGGGACTGACTCGGTCTAGGATGCTTCACCGTTTTGGGGGACGGAGAAAACAGAAGTCCGCCGATCCGTAATCAGCCCGAACGCCCTGCGAGGATGATATAAAAGGTCAGGACTATTCTTGGACAGATCGTATTATTAAGAGTGGCAGACCAAGTCTCCTTTCCAGCACCCGGTCGACAATATTCAATATGCAGCTTTCCGCTTTCCTCCTCGCTATTGCCCCGGTGGCCGTCATGGGCTGGTCTCACCCTGGCTGCAGCAAGTCCGGCAACAGCTGCTTCAACTCCGCGCTCGTTGAGTACAAGGTTAGTGCCACGACTTCGTTTCCTACCATCACGTAGCTGACTTTCATGCCCAGTGCGGTATTTCTGACGCCGAATGGCCTCCCTTCCCTCCCTGCGAGTCTGTCGACGCGGTAAGTCATTTCTGGCGCCACGTATCAATGAGCTCGTGACTAATGACATGTTAGGCCGTCGGCTACTGGTGCTGTCCTCCTTAAGCTGATCATGCCATGGAGAAGCGCACTTGATTCATGTACATCTTTCTAGAAACGTACAAAGACAACACAGAAGACTTTTTGACCGCATGAATCTGATCCAACGTTTTCATATTGTGTAACAATCTCCTCAGTGATGGATGTCCTGAGTCCTGGGGGCTGCGGCGCTCTGCGAGCGAACATGCCAAGTGTGATCCGAGCCATTGACTAAGAGACCGCCTAATTTTCCTTTGCTAGAGCAACTACTTTTCTTGTGTGCTCGCTATCGTCGTTGCTATTGTAGTCGCTACTGTTATTGCTACTGTTATCGTCGTGCATCATCTTCGACCTCTATTATTAGCGTCTATCGCCGTCATCCCCTGTTGTCGTCCTTATCAAAGTCACTAAGTACAAAGAAAAGAAAAGTAGTCGCTTTGGCACAAAAAGAATAGACGATCTCTTGATTACAGTGGTAACATGATTACAAGTTCATTTCTTGTGTCAAAACTATATCTACGTAGGGGCGCTAGACTATTTTGAAGCAGAGGTAACGGAAAGTTAAAGCTTCTTGCTGGCCGTCGTCGCATTCGTGGGAGCCGCAAAGTTGCCAGGAAGAGCAGTGAACATGACGTCGGACGCAAGGTCGGATACGCGGCCTAGAAGCTTCTCGAGCAGACGGTAGCCTGCACCCTGGGCGTACTCCGGAAGTTCTATCACAGCATGTTAGTCACCATGAAAGACAATCCCAGGAAGGATGTGCAGAAAAGCTCACCATGTCCGGCGTTGAAAACTCTGGCAAAGTTCAGGCCTCTTTGCTCAACCCAGTCGCCGATCTTGCCCGCGGCGCTCTGCGAAGACAGGTCGCTGTACGCGGTGGGGAGGAAGAAGATCTTGCTGGGGAACTCGTCGAAGCCCTGCTTTCCGTTCCAGGTCATGTTCTGCAACACGTACAGCGTGCCGTTAGTAGGTACACGGTCTGCGGGTCAAGATGTCAACTTCTGAAAGAGTCAGTGAGTGGTTGCTGTTGAGAACTTACAGTCGAGGTTGCCGCTGGCGATGATGAAGTTGTCGGTGTGCTCGATGACTCTCGTTAGGGCACCCGAGGTGAAGGGGTCCTCGCTCTGGTCACCATTGGGCCCGAAGGGGTTCGCGTCGGTGCACTCCTGCCAGTCCTTCTGTCCCTCGGGGATGTGGATCGCCTTGCGCATCTGGGGGATGTTGAGGTATCCGTGCCAATCCTTCTTGTCGAAGCTGAGCGGCACGCTGGCGTTGTCGCCGGCCGAGGCCCAGAGCAGGGGGTCGGACGGGTTCGGGCAGCCCTGGGAGATGTGGTAGATGTTGGAGCACGGGCTGACTTCAGCCAAGCCGTCGTAGACAATGGAGGAGATTTGGCACTCGTCGCTCATGTTTCCAGGAGGGAAAGGGCCTGCGGGCGGGAAGGTAAAGTACTTCTCGCGCATGTCTTTGTAGCCGCACGCCTCATCTGCAGCCTCGATGCGGTCCCAGTAGTCGCCGACGCCGGGGTACAGGCCCATGACGTTGTTGTACTCCTCGACGAAGGGCTTGGTGACGATGTGCTGCTGGAAGTCGTTGGGGACGCTGCGGATGTAGGGGCTGAACATCATCGCGCCGGAGAGGTTGTAGTCGGCGGACTGGTTGGACTTGATCATGGCGTCGCCGATGTACGGGATGTAGTGGCCCGCGTAGCTCTCGCCGGTGAGGTGTGTCTTGCGGCCGGTGGTGTTGAAGGTTTCCATCCAGTTGTGGTAGAAGCCGAGGAACTGCTGGGCGATCTCTTCCTCGGTGGTGGCGTCCGGGGAGCTGACGGAGAAGCCGGTGCCGGCGGGCTGGTCGACGTAGAGCATGTTGGAGAGCTGAGACCAGGAGTAGATGTTGTAGACGGGGCGGTAGGCGGAGGGGAACCAGGTGAAGGGGCCGTTTTCTTGGACAAGCCCAATGAAGGAACTGCAGCCTGGGCCACCGTTGAGCCTGGTATATGTTAGTGTTGATGAGTGCGATGTGTCGTGGGCAGCTTTTACCAGATGGTGACTTCGTTGGAAGCATCCTTGTTAGTGCTTGGGAAGTACCAGAAGAACAGCTCGCGCGTCTCATTCGACTTTTTGGAGATGGGCATCAGACCGGCGTAAGACTCGCCGAGGTCCCAGTCGACAAAAGGAATGTCGGTGCCGTTGACGAGATACTCTGAGATATCATTAGCTTGCTCTCTGGGAAACACAGCACGCTCCATGAGAGTCTTACTCTGAGTCTTGTCAGTCAGGTACTGATAATCACCGGGGACATCGCGCTTCTGGATATGGCGACGGTTCGGGCCACGCCTTTCCTCCGCCAACGCCTTGATGGGGTTATGGCCATCAACGCGCCAGTGGGCCAAGACGGTGCATGGCAACACCGCCAACAGAAGAGCGCGGAGAGAAAGCGCGGGAGCCATGGTTATTATCTAGAGTGAAACGAATGAAAATGGCGAGTGTCGACGCTGGTGGAACGAAACAGCCCTCTTGGCAGAAACTTGGCGCGAGGGCCGATAACAAATAGGCAATCCTATTTGGCGTGATCGGTTTCCCCTGAGGCACTGCATCTTATTGCAACGCTGATTGAATATGGCATGGATCACCACTTGATGCGACTCTAAGATGGAGAGAGAGTTAATAATTAGAGTAGCGCAGCTGCAGTGTACCCTACAATTAACTCGGCCGCACCGTCTTGGCCGGGGTGCCATTGCAATGGCAAACGACAAACATAGGTGCCGGCAACTGATGAACATGATTGATATCGCGCAATTAATCGTTTATTAGGGGAAAAAGCAAATTCTCTTAGTTTGAAACATTCAGACATGTCGCGTTCCTTGAGAAAATAGTCTCCAATTGGCGGGGAATCTCAAAGCGACCCATCCGGCATCGAAAATCGACCCGAACTGCATTTTGAACAAGCTCCCGAGCCGGCCGAACGGATGCGCACTTTTGCCTGCTTGACTATAGCTCAGCAGCATTAATATAACCTTAACTCCTTATACGGGCCGCAATAAAACCTTGTCACCCGCAGAGCAAAACAGCTCACAATGTGCTGGAAAGAACGGTCTTGACTCGCTCATTCAGCAAGTCGACCAATGCACCTAAAATAAGCTCGATTTTCATGGGACGAACTTGTGCATGCTGTTTGCCAAGATAGATCGGATGCAAAGAAAGCTTGTCTTTCGCATCGCACCGAGAAGATGGCTCCGCAAGAACTTGGCTCGGCGATCAGCCCGCCATACCAGGGGTTGAGTAGCCACCGTGCAACACAAAAAGTCCCGCAATGTCCGGGGAAAGAGTGATGAGCTTCCCATTTCTACGGGCTGTCAGTTGGCGCCATGGCCCGGATTGGAATGTGCATTGGTGGAGGAGCCGTGATAGCCGTTACCCCTGAAAACCTACGCTGGCGTTCAGTTGGAGCTTATCTGGGCGGAATTCTCGGGCCAACGTCCTACCAAACTTACACCAATTCAGTCTTTCCTTAATGAGTTGGTCTGTTGCTTGAGTCTGGCCGAGTTCATATGGAACTTAGCTTCTCAAATCTTGCATAGACCGAGCTTCTTGATAAGACAATTCTTCCGTGCTGCTGTTTTATGGTCTAGCCGGAAACCTCTGTTTCGATATACGATTCCTGCCCGATCTTCTTATCGAGGCAATATTCAAAAGATTACTTCTAAGGGATACTCGAGTTCAAAGTTCCCGTTCGTTTTCGGGATTCATGGATGTCATGCATTTTTCCACGAGTACACGACCTCGCCAATGTAGTCTGCATGCTGCTAATTCAACATTGAAGTGTGACTCCTGAGCCATTATGCAGCAAACAAACAATATGCGAATCCGACTTTGGTTTTATTCTTTGAAAAGAAATTTGGTCTTTGGTTGGCTATGGACAGTGAGTTCTCACATTTGTCAAATGCTCTCGCAGAACTCTTGCTTCTCGGTGGCTTCTCGGTTGCTGTCGAGTCACAAGTTCTTACCGCCGCAACTGGCTTTTGCTACTCGTCATAAATGACGCACACAACCTCGCCAGCGATGTCAATGTTCGCAATGAAATCCTTGAGAAGACCGGTCTTGACATCTCTGCTGATGACCACCACACGTCCGTCTGACTGAAGACCAACAGCGACCTGATCACCAGCCTTGTTGATCGAGAAATGGCGAGGGAATCTGCCACCTGCAGGGTAGAGCTGAGTGAAGTTCAGGTGGCCCTTCTCCTGGTCGATGGCGAATGTGGCCAGCGCGTCGGACACGATCTCAGTGCTGTTGGTCTTATTGAAGTTGGGAATGCTGAAGGTGCTGACGTTGCGGGAGGAAACGACCAAGTATTGCGAGTCGGGCTGGGATTGTAGTTAGTCGCCGAAATTCAATCATTTAAAGTGTGGTAGTACTCACAGAGACGTGGATCTCAGCTGCAGCAGCTCCGACAGGAACAACGTTGTCCAGGCCATGAGTGCCAACGACGAAAACCTCCTTGAATTCAAGAGTCTTATCCTGATTGTAAGTGACCTCGTAAGAAGTGATGGTGTTGCCGAGCTCAGCCAACAGAAAGAAGAATGTCTTCTTGCCGACGACGAGGAATCTGGCGTGTCTTGGGCCGCTTCCAGATGCCGCGTTGAGAGGGGTGCTTGGGGTCAATTCGTACGTCTCCTGGTTAATCTTGAAAACCCGCACCAGGTCGGCTCCCAGATCTGGGACCAACACGAACTCCCCCGTGGGGTCAAGAATGGCCTCGTGGGGATGCGGGGCATTTTGAGCGGGTTTCGGGCCTGGTTGGCTCAGCGAGTACGTCCAGGACTGCAACCTCTTGATGTCGCTCGGGTCAGCTACAGAGAAGACCTCGAAAGAGGATGCAGGGCTGAACAAAATTTGTCAGTTCCAATATCCGTATCGTTTTCCAACATTACTATTTCACATTTAGACCCCAGGTCGACTTCTGACAGGGGTTCTAATGATAGCGCAGCACGTGGCCGATGTACTTACTAAGACGCCAGCGCAATTCCACCGCCATCCTTGCCGTAGACAACAGAGCTAACGGCACCCTTGATGGTCTCCAGTTTGCCAAGCGGCGAGAGGGTTCCGTTCTCAGACTTTGAGAACGAGACGAGCGTGCCGTTTGGATTGGTGAGGCCTCTATCCGCGCAGTAAAGCAGAGACTTCGACTGGTCGAGGGTCAGCCAGGAAGGGTTGGCGGCGCATTCCGTCGTTGTCGAGATTGCATCCAAAGTTGCCCCGGACTCAGAAGTCTGAAGGTTAAGAGTCGTGACGGTCCCGGCGTGGGAGGCGGCGTAGAGAAGAGTCGACGAAACCGGCTTGACGGACATGACGGCCAGCAGCCAGGCAGAGGTGAGTTTGGACAACATGGCTGGCAACTGGAGAAGAACCAGTGAACCCGAGAAAGCTGCTTGACTCCATTTTTGAGCACTGGGAACCACGCCTCTTTAAGAATTTCAGGTACACTTGTCGGAAATGCGACTATGCTTGCTCCGCCGAGCTCGTTTTCCGTGCGGGGTCAGGATGACCCTGGAACCCCGGCGGATTTTCCCACCTATTAATCTAACTGGCTGGGTAATTAGATCACTCTTTCCATGGAATTGGTAATTGCTGGTCGCACGTGTAAAGAAAATCGCTGCAGCGCACTGCCGGTCTGCTTGTGTGCTTCTTCTTGGCAGGGGTTGCGGATAAGGTTTGAATAAGGATGGGCTTGGCAGCGTTGTGTTTAAGGGGGAACACTGGACGATTTGGGGTTTGGGTTCGTCTAAACCAATGATAAAGGTCGCGTTCCGCACTAATGGTTCATCCCATCGGTAAAGCTTCGACTTCGCCATCCATCCCACCGGTAAGTCATCAACTTCACTTCTCAACGCCTCTTCGATATAACGACTTGTCTTGGTATTTATTCCATCTTGAGGGCGGACTCCGAAACTCCATCGCCAGATTCTGACAATTGTCGATGAGCTTGCCAACTTGCCAAGACAGGTAATGAATGATGATTTGAACTTGATTTTAAGATGCCTGGCTTTTCAAAGCCAGATTGCTTGGCTGTTTTGACGCAAGGCCATCAAGGTACTCGTATTGCAAGAAAAGTGCTTTCAGCGCAAAGGCTCCAGGAAGACTCGGTCCAAACATCAACCAAGCGATCTGAGCAGTCTCCGTTCAGGTCATCAGTTCAGTCATGCCGAACATAAGTGATATATAACCTCACTGAGACTTGTCTAATGAAAAGCCCTCTAAGCTTAGGTCGCATTGTTGATTGGTATGCTTTAGAAGCCCAACGTTACCGATCAAATGCCCATCCGTACTTGACGCACGGTGGGCGCCAACTGAGGCAGAACATCATCGACGAAATCAAATCCGGCTCGATCGAAGCACGTAGACCTCTCCCTACTGCTCCGTATTCTCTACGAAGACTTTTACAATGTATGGCATGCTGAGATACAACTCGGCGACGAGTCTTCATCGGGAAAATATCTCATTAAGCATGTCACTGGCATCTGGATTCTGGAACTTTTCATGGTACCACATGGTTGGTTCCTTCAATAAGGGCATACAAGCACCAGTGGACACAAGGTACATAGGGAAATTGTCAAAACACGTATTGGGGTATCTACTTAATCTATAAACTCACAAAAAAAGCTGGCAGTGACATGAAGTTCAACCACTAGCACAAAGCCTTTTTAGCCAAGAAAAGCATGAATTCGGCTCGACGAACAGGGGCTCCAAGAGTTTAAATCGCAAGTTATCAACCTCACCAGCATTGATGAAGTCGCGCGTGTTGATGGTGATGACCCAGTCGAGGCCCGACTTCTCTGATGCGGCAAAAGATCGTGCTCCCGCGAGCGTGCCTTGACGCTTGCCAACAGTACGTCCACCAGTACCCCAGACGGCGTGCTTGCTGATGAACTTTGCAATGGTGCTCGCGCTAGCGGCGAGCGAAAATGCGGCATCGCACTCCTCTTTGATAGCCCCGTCGCCCCCGAAAACCATGGACACATTCGCGGTGGAGTCCGGCTGCGAGCCGTCGAGGCCAGTCAAGCGGGTGTCTTGGATGATGCGATCGACAGCGTGCTTGCTAGCGGCTGTCTCGAAGACACGAACATCCAGACCTTCCAGGATATTCTCCTTTAAGAAGTCAAAATATGGCTGTTGAGTAATGTTGCTCACGACGTAGCCCAGGAGCATTGAGCCGTAGTTTGCATATACATACTTCGAACCAGGTTTGGAATCGAGAGTTTTCGTGAGCTGATATTCAATCATGTCCCGCAATGTGGCGGGACGCGCGTTGTTGTAAAAGTATTGAGAGGCCTTCCGAAACTCGAATCCAGGATCACCCGACTTTGAACGATCAAATCCTGTCTTATGCGTAAGGAGATGGTCGATTGTTGTAGTGAGAGACCGCGGATCCTTAGCTTGCTTGTAGCCAAGGAGGTCGTAGACGCGTGTGGAAAGCTTGAGCTTTCCAGCCTGAATCAGATTGTCAATGGCAGCATGGACAAACATCTTACTCAGACTAGCCAGAAGGAAAACGTCATCCGGTTGGACAGGAGCTCGGTTGCTCTCTGCCCACGTATAACCGCGCTCAAAGACGATATCACCCTCTTCGGCGCCCGCGACTTGGGCCTGACGCACACCGTTCTTTTTCATCCATGTTTCCATAATGGTATCGAGTTTCGCAGTCATGGCTGGGTCGCCGTCTTTGCCGGTCACCGTCCACTTGCGGGCCTCAGGGATGTCAGTCTCAGCGAAGATGACAGAAAACCGAGTGTCCTGTCCAGTGCCGGCGCCGTCGATGTGAATCGGATAGAGGCGATTTTGGGGCTCCTGCGACTTGAGTTCGGCGTCCAGTTGTTCCGCGGTGAGGTCAGTTTTTGCCTCCCACTCACCAACCCAGTCGCTAGCAAATTGGGGTGTGATTCGTTGATCATCGGCGACGAAGAGACGTTTCGGTCGCCAAAAGGTCTTTGTGAGTTCAGAGTCGTAGATTGCAGCGAACTCCTTGGGCCCAGGGGTGTCGTAGAAGATCGTTTCCATTGCGTTGCCAATGTTCTCGTGGACAATTAGGCAGTAGCGACGATCATTAGGGGTGCCGTAGGTGCTGTAGTCCTTAACGACGCCACTTGTGTTGGTTGCAGAGTGAAAATCTCCTGGTTTCGTAATACCACATTGTTGGCTCCATTTCCCAACATTTGTCCTCTCCATGACGGCAGCGAAGACGGCACCAGCAGCCGGCCCCGCAGCGGAGACATGCGTTGGAACATAGCCTTTGGATTTCCATGAGTCCATCCAAGTTCGGTAGCCATCTAGATCCGCGCCAGAAATCGTTACTTGGTCGCTGCCCTCCCGCTTGACCCAAACTGCGGCATACTTGTTGTCAGGAGGAGTTCCGTAAGAGCTGAGAGAGATTATACGGTAGCCAGAGCCCTTGAGCGCCTGGGCCTTGGCAGCATGAGTGGCACCGTCGAGATTGAAGTAAGTCTGGACTTGGGGTGGTGGTGTTGCGGCAGCAGAGGAGACAGAGTACAGAGCGAAAAGGCTGAGCAGGTAAAGGACCGAGCGAAATTGCATGATGACGTTCAACATCAGCCCAAACGCTGGCAACAGTCAAAGATGAGGTCACAGTATACGGCCAGCGATACATTTTGGGATCAACCGGGCTGGGAGTGTTTTTATGCTCGCTCAATGTTGGCTCTAGAGACTCATGTGTGGGTGTTGATCATGACAGACAAGGATCCCCAAAACCCCTCAATTGTTGTTCGGGGTAGCCGATTGGGGTATCAGCAAGTCATTTAACTACCGCCCAATTGATGACCAGATTAAGCATGAGTTGCTTTTTGTCGGTCATGCTGAAGGTGCTGCGGGCGGAATAACCCTAAAATTCTCATTTAGGGAAGCAGATCAATCCACAGACCAGCGCTTCAATCCAAGTGGACGCAAACATGGACACTATGGGGAAGGTAAGGGCCGCGACTCGTTTATTAAGGTTAACAACCTTTCCCCATGACAGATGGCAGAAATCATCTACTGACGTGACCCCATCCGAAGTGTAATGGTTTTAGCAACGCTTCCAATAGCGTTGTCGACACTCTGAAAATGAACTTCAGTCACAGCTCGGGGAGATAGGGGCGATTATTCATCGCATAACAGGAGATAGTGACGGCGGACTCGCCATCACCGAAGCTCTTGCTTTGTGGTGCAGTCAGTTGCCACGTCTTGGCATGCTTAAGCTACGGGGCAGCGGGAGTCATGACCTGCCATGATTGCTTTGAGGGGATAAAGCGACAGTTTTCCCGCTACGCAGATCAATCACACCAACCTCTAAACATAGCATTCGTGGTCGCCCCCAATGATACGCTGCGCAGGTGATAGAGTGAGGTGTGTATCCGGGGTATGATCGAACCAGGCGGTATCCCACTTTGATCGCCCAATCAGATCACCAGCCTCGGTCGCACCCCCGCCAGCGCCCTCAACTATATAGTTATTTGTGCGCAGGCGTTAATTGCAGTTGCTGTTCGCAATAAATTTGATTGCAATGGTAAGTTCCGCATAGTCGTTAGTAATCTGCATTCAGTTCCAAAAAGTTCCCAAAAGTTGCCCGACCGCGCGCGAAACACTTCCCTGCTTGACTTTGACGCGGGATACCGCTCGGCCAGCAGATCTCATCACACAGTCTTCGCCCCATACACAATCCCATCAGAAGGCCTCAGGGAGTCACGAAAGACGCCGCTGGCGTACATCGGAATGGGGCTATGGGTTTGCAAATGCAGTAGGAAGTCCTGGCGTCACGCGGAACGCCCCGACTTATTACGTTGGTGTCCATGAGTAAGATAATTCGATACCACCTACGACAGCGGTGGCCGACGTTGGTCCAACCAACAAGTTGAGCTACGACAGACAGAAGTTAAAATTGAAGTTGGAGGCCAGCCAGTCTTGGCCATGGGGGTCCGCTTGATGCTATAGGATCGTTGCGTGGTTCATCACGTGGTGTTGCACCAACGTCTTTGTTGGTTCCTGCAGGTACATGCAGGTCGTTGGTCGGCCGCGTTGTAAATTTGCACCAACAACTACATCTGGGCATCACGACACTCTGTTGGAAGCAAGCCCCCAAAGATCCACCATTCAAGATCGTCACCACTGAAGGGTGAGCAGTTGGTCGGGCCGGGTGAAAGGCTGCCTGAACTTAGCCGCTGATGTTTCTGTGTCGTCGCATTTGAGAGATAAAACCTGATCTTTCAGCCCCCGAAGTCTTCATCTCCAGCTTCGCCCCCGATAACACGTTCGTAATGTTCACCCAACTGCGTCTGAATGACACATCTTTCCTCGTATTTGGTTGGAAATTTATATTCCGATGACACGTTGCGTTGGAACTTTGCAAATGACGCCAGGTATTGTGAAACGAGATACTCACGTCCAGAGGTAGAACTGGAGCTGAAGGTTTGCACCAACGGCCATCTCCAATGACCCAAAAGATTCAACTTAAACTGTGAATTGCTTCTTTATAAAAGCAGGTAGCTGGTCAGTCATATCTCTCTCCATCTTCAAGCCAGCCATCATCTTTCGATCCTGCTCTTTCTACTCCTCGCGCTTCTCCTTCACCATGCGTTTGCCACGGACTTATTTTGTGATCGCTCTGCTGATGATATTCGAAGCGTCAGCCCTACTTCCGTACAGCTTGCCTTATCTCAGTGAGTTTTTAGGAGACGTTTCTTGTCTAGATCATTGCTAATTCTTGTAGCGCCCGGCAAAGAGCCTCGGACGGCAGAACCACCTCCAGGACGTTCAGTCAGATTCGTCAGCGGTGCGACGGGCCTTCTAAGTGGCACTGGAATACCCACGTCCCAACCGTCGTCCTCCTTCTCGACTCACAATACATCCGCCTCTGCTTCTACCTCCACCAAGCCCACCAGCCTAGCGTCCGCCGGAAATTCGCTTCCTCCGCCAAAGTCGATCTCAACGTCCTCATCTGGAACCAGCTTCGCCCATTACTCCAACAGCTCATCACCTACCGTTGCACCAAGCTCCGGCACCACTGTCGAGAATACTGCCACAGTCACTCTTACATCGGCCACGGTCACCAGTACTGTCACAGTTGTCAATCTCAACGGATCACCCCTTCCGCTTGACCGGCCGGTGGTCACCTACGCCCCGCGAGGAGGTTCCCCCATCACCATCTCGTCAGGATCAGTCGTACTGGGATCCACGACTATTGCTGTTCCAACAAAACCAACAACATTGACCGCTGACGGCACTCCGATCACCTTTGGCAGCCTGAGCACCGCCCAGCAAGTTGTCACCTCAGTGAACCAGCCGCCGAAGACCACGAAGCAGGAGACCCAGGAAAGCCCTACCCGGACATCCAAGGCTGTACTTACATCCGCCATGCCTCCCTCTGAGACTTCCTACATGGGCGAGGTGAACTCCCCCTTTGACCATACGTGGGTCCCGCTTCCGGTTGTCGTTAAGCTAGACGGGGTTGAGTTTTATCCCCCAACCGAACACGAAAAGCCAGTTGAGATCTTTCTCAAGGATGGAAGCACCGCAACCCTTTCTTACAGGTCCTTGAAGATCGCGGGAAAGACGGTCCAGATACCTCAGGAAGTTTCATCTACAAGTGTCATCGATGGTGTGGAGTTTTCACAACGCTCTTTCGACTCTCCCGAAGGTAGCCCTGGTGGCGGTGGTGGTACCGCAGCCGGGGGCAGCGCTGGTGCATTTGGTGCTATGAAGGGGATCTTTGAAGGGCTTTCCGGATCTGCAGGTCCATTAGCTGATGCCGTGGCCGGCTTCAGCGGCAAGGCCATGCGCCTGGCTCTCAACGCGCCTGGCGGGCCTCTATCCGGCACAGGGTTTGGAGAAGCCATTGAACTGTCGGATCTGACCCAAGATGCCATCAACCTTGCGAAGCAGACATCTCAGTTCCAAAATCAAGTGGAGTCTGCCCGAATGAATCAAGGAAATCAGCCAGATGCCTTTCGATCCATCAACGGAAAGTTCTTTTCGGCTTACGCCCATTCTCGCAGGTTTGCGACCTGGTCATCGTCGACTGCCAATATGCTCCAGAACCTTCCCAATATTCCCACGGAGCTGCACGCTACAATCATGGAAAGATTCGGAGACTTGTCGATTCTTGGGATGGCAGCTTTGAGTTTCGCAGCCGATGCCTACGACGCCTACGCTGTTCTAAGCGCCGTCAACTGGGCCGATGTAGATGACGTGTTTGCTGGAAACCCCCAAGAACCGCCAAACTCGACGACTGTATCTCAACCAACCTCCACGACTATCTTTGCCGATCCCCCAACCAAGTCTGGTACGCCGAAGAAGAAGGCTTCATGGCCACCAATTCCTCGAGGACCCACTGACATGTTCATGATCACCGCCAAACGCGGGAAGGTCAGCACTTCTGTCTTTAAGAAGTTCACCAAGTACCTTGACAACGACGCTGGAAGTACTCTTGGTGCCGAGGAATGGCTGCCGACTGAGATGGCGTGGCCTGTATACACTACCAACTTGACTGTGCTCAAAGCTGCAGGTATCGCTCAAATTCCTTGGGTGAGAAGTGTCACTCCTGATATTCCATTCGACGTCCAGGAGTATGAGAAGGTTTCCGCCACAAAGACTCCCGACTTCACGACCCCGATTGCGACGTCCGGCAGCACTCCTACCCGGGGCCCACTACACAAGCGGCGCCCTGCGCCTCCTGATGTCAGACCAAACAGCCCGGCGCATCTCAGGATGATTTCAGGAGACTCCAGACAAGACTACCGGTATCATTCCTCACTGGGCCGAGGCGTTACCATCTTCATAATTGACACTGGTTTCAATTTGGGTCACCAGGTATGGAACACATGACATGTTGGTTGAACAAGCTAATCAAAGCTTTAGGAACTCGCTCCAGGCTCAAGAAAGGTCAAGGACTACTACGTCAAAAACGAGAACGCTGTCGATTTGTCCAAGGTTGCACTCGACAAGCTCGCACCGGATAACTCGGAGGACTACTTTCACGATGGCCAGCGCAGGATAGGACACGGTACCTCCGTAGCTTGCGTTGCTGGAGGCACCACCTTAGGCGTGGCATCGAACGCTGACCTGTACTTCATCAAGTGGAAGGCGGCACAGAAACGAAACAACGGCAGCTACGGGCCAATCCAGAGCCGACGGGTGGCACTCATTGATGCTTTCAACCACATTCGAGCTCAAATTCTGCGCGCGAACCCTTCGCTTAAGGGCAAGGCGGTTGTGAATGTATCTTTCGGTACGTATCCTCGTGATCCAGGTTCTACTGGCCTCGTGAGTAGTTACCTAACTTTTATTCAGGTATCAAAAGAGACATCGCCCTTTTTGATGACATCCAAGCCGACTTTGAGGCGTTCATCGAAGACCTGGAGGAACTTGGCGGTGTCTTCGTCATGGCTGCCGGGAACGGTGCTCAATCCCCGTCGCCGGACAGACTAGGGGACCATCTTCCGCAACTTCTTGGAACACAAGAGAACTCACTTATTACCGTCGGAGGAGTTCATGCTGATGGATCACTTCAAGCAACCTCTGAGCCAGAAGGGAAGATGAAAAGCGACCCGCCGATGCAGGATGGCAGCCCTCATCCCAATGCGAATCGTCGTGGAAGCGTTACCATCTACGCACAGGCCGAAGATGTGACGGGCTGCATCGGTGACCCGGCCGACACTAGAAGCACTGTGAAGATGACAGGGAACAGTTTCGCTTCTCCAGCAGTGGTAAGTGAAATTTCTCAAGCACCCTTGACGAAAGGTTCACCAGAGCTGGAGCCATTACTAACATGCACACTTCGAATCATAGGCCGGCTTGGCAGCCTACCTCTTGGCACATCCCGATTTCAGTGACGTTTTCGAGTACAAGGAGAAGTCACAACGAGAACCAGACTATCGCAGTGTTGGTCTCCAGATGAAGCAGGTCATCGAAGCGTTTGCCTCTTTCCAATGGGTCCCGCAAGAGGCGGTGTTCAATCGCTTCAGAGAGTATGAACGGGAGGAATATGAACTTCCCAAGCGCGTTCGAATTGCATATAACATGGTTGATGGTCCGAAACGCGACGTGTAAGTCCTCGCCATTTTCGTCTTCGTACGGGCAAAATGGGTTTGGACGCTAACTGCGGGTTCGAACAGAGATGCAGCGACTCAGCCAGCCGATCCCAATCGACAGAGGCTGCGCGAGAGATATCATCGTTTCTTGGACCGCCTGCAGCAATGCAACCCCATGAAGGTCAAGCGAGACGGCACTACAACTGAGATCGATTTCTGTTCTGCCACAGATACCTTCACCCGCGTGTCAACGACAGTGCTTCCCACATCCATGGCATCGACGTCAACTGGCGATGCGACGCTAACGTTCAAGCCTACCACATTGACCGGAAGCACCTCAACGACCGCGACTACTAGCCCAGTTTTGACCTGCAACGAAGAAAGTGAGTGTGACGGTCTCACCTGCAAGTCAACGGAAGCCAAGAAGTGCAAGGCCAAGTCAGCGGTAGCCGTGCCTATCCCAATCAAGTACTATACCGACGGATCCCCCATACGTTTCTACAACAATGACTAACAACGGTGAACAGACAATGCGAATGTGTTGATCCGAAAGAGGAGGACAAGGTTCCCGCCGTTTGCACTGTCGACGAAGACTGTAAGGCCCTGATCTGCGATGGTTCTAAGAAGAAGTCCTGCGTGACGACCATTCCTATGGGTTCATTCGCCATCCGGTAAGACATTCAGAAAAAGTTTGATCTTGCACGCCCTCATGGCACATCGTAGGCAATGCAAGTGCACCGATCCCAAGCCTACTACCACATCGGTGGTCAAACCAACCATGGTTGCGCCCAAGCCGCCCTCGACCACCGTCAAACCCCCGACTGCAACATCTCCAGGTAAGCATACATGATCGCTTGTTGTCAAATTGGGATATGTAAAACTGACATCAAACTTCAGCGCCTGTGGAGTGCAACATTGACCAGGCGGTCAACTCGTGTGCTGGCTACAAGAACTGCAAGGAAACCGAGCGTGGAATCTGCAAGGAGCACAAGACGGCTTCGGGCAAAGAGTAGTGAGTTTCTACAGATCCTTCCAAGCGTAACATACTGACGAAAACACCCTCTCTCAGCTACTGCGAGTGCGAGGAGACCCCCCCGACACCTCCAGACCTCGAGCCTGGTTGCTCCCGGCCACAAGGGCCTTGCGAATGAGTTCATGTTGATCAATTACTTTGTAAATGTGTACTTAAAAACAGATATGGCCATGGAGCGCATTGGGCGATCACTGATGGGCCCAGGTCTGAGGTGGGGAGAAGCCCAGAACGTTCCATCGATGCTCTCCATTTAGAATCTTTTCAGATTGGGCAATGTTTTCGGCTGTTAGGTAGTTGAGGATTTCCTTGCGACATTCATTTCACTTCGAGAGTTACTGTTCAAAAATTTTGACGTCCGCGTAAGAAGATTATGCATCATCGTGCCTCGACGCCTCAATATTGACATGCACCCACCGCTGGCTTTTTTCTAACACAAGTTGGGAAGTGATCTTTGCCTGCTGCAATATTTTCATTTATTGGGGTAGATAGGGTATGCAGCCAAGGGATTTCAAGACTGAGATGAATTTGAGTCGTGATGCACAGGGGCGTGCACTTTGGACATTTTCGGTCGAGATATCGGTTCAGGACATGGCGCCAAACCCAAATTTGGGTAAATAAGATCCGGTTTAAGCTTGAATGAAATGCCGAGATCGTCTCCGCTTACCGTGGTCCCAGGAAAGGCAATGCATGGCCACTTCCGACCCGGTCCTAGACAATAAGCCCACTGGAGCCGGTCAGAGGTGTACAGCGAGATAGTCGGCTTCGGGACTCGTCGCGTACACACTGAGGACAAACCACCCTACGATATACCTTTTATTTCTGGGTTTGTCTAAGAACATGGGATGAAGCCAAAAGCATTAGGGTCTCGAGAGCGTAATAGGCTTGTAACCATCGATCTGGGCGTTGAACGTACGTCTCCCCGCCAGATCTGAACACCAAAGTTGGAAAACCCGAATCAGACACCTGAGGCTCTGATGATCCATGAAATTTGGGAAAGCAACTATAAGTCCAGATGCTCCGGTCCGAGCGATTACTCAAAGTCTCTGGAACAGCACGCACAGCACTTCTTCACAAAGGCTTACTTCGGAAAGAACAATAACAAATCCGGCCAAACCAGACTCAGATACAATGCGTGTCCTCAAGCTCTCTCTTGTGGTCGTCGCCATGGCCTTCATTCACTCTGCCGCGGCCAAGCCCAAACTCTCCGGAGGCAATATGGAGGAAAATGGCAAATCGTACCAGAAAGCGATGCTGGACGGGAATGACACCCAGCTGGACATGGAAGTCCCGTTGGACGAGAACAACTGGGTCAACGGGGATGAGTCCGCGGTACCCATTGCAAATGAGCAGCAGGGCGAGGCGGTCAAGTTCGAGGCCTAAGTCTCGCGGGATGATGCGTAAGAGAACCTCCCTGACACAACAGAAATGCGCTTCATTGCCCCCTTTGACTGCTACATTGGAAGAAAACAACAATCCGCTAACGAGAACAACCGATGGAAATCCGCGCAAGCCCAGGTGAATTCCCTTTAGTGATTCAAGGACAAGCGTTTCGCTAGCGGACCAAGCTGGAAGAGGAAGCTTTCGTTGTCGGGCGTCGAAGCTTATTGAGGAATGGTGATTCGCACATGGAATTGCTCAAACTTGAGGGTATAATTGTGGGGAAATTTTTTCTTGAGCTTTTTTCTTTGGTACGAAGGAGTGAAAGTTACGTGGTGTCGGGAAAGACGGTGTCTGTTTGGAATCTGCCTCCCCTGGAACTCGGAGGCGAATTGTCTATGAACGCAAGGATCGGGATTTATTTCTTATGCCCTGGCGTAAGTAATGCTTTCATATGCTGCTTGATAGTCAAGTCAATTAGCAAAAACAGACAGTGTTGGACCAGACTCGCATTTGTACCCTCTTCTCTCTGATCTGTGATCGATATGAAGCCGGGTCTACGGCGCAAAAGCTCCCGCTGAATAGTCATTGAGATGTAAAAAGGCGGAGACTGCCTGATGTTCCTGTGCCTGCGCGGCTACATTTCTTGAATGCTTGATACCCGTACATTTAAGGCTTTACTTCGTTGAAGAGAGCTTACATGGATAGCAGTTAGAGAGAGACAACAACAAAGATACTATAACAATAGCAGAAACGAAGATATTAGAGATGGAGGCAACGAAGACGACGATTGCGAGCACATGATAAAGGTAGTTGCCCTAGCGCGGTAACAATAGGTGGTCTCAAGAACCAGAATGGCTACCAAGCATTCTTCCCGTTCCAGAAAAACACCAGAGATACATCCCCGTCGTTTTTTGAAAGAGGCTGTCAATCTGAAGCACAAGGATAATTGTCTCCTGGCAGCGCTGTATACCTGTCAAATACAATCAAGCGAATCGAGCAATCAGATATACAAAATGAGGCTATTCAGACAATCCAGTTAATCTTAATTTCGACGGGGGCACCTTGATCCGTCTGGCCAAATTGCGGCCGATCTTCATTCGTTTTGCCTTCTGACCTTTCGTTTATACTTTCATATGGCAGGTTACCGGCCGCGGGCACACCCCGTTTTGTCAAGAATTCCTCTGTGAACTTATATATGACTGAAGGAAACACGGCCGATCTTCATACCTTACAGCTACGTACAGAACCTCCCATCGTCGGATCCCGTGTCAAGCTTCTCGGTTCTGTATGCCCTGTCGCCGTATATCCTTTCAGTCTTTGCTTGAAGCATGGAAGTTAAACCCCGCCGCATGTGAAGTATGGAAGATGGAGGCATGGCAATAATTGCTAAACGTTTCGATGTGGCGTTGAATGTGGAACCAATGTGCCTGATCGAATACCTTAATTGACGTCAAGATCGACATGAGAGTCGATCAGAGGTGGCACCAACCCGGAACGTGTCGAACTTGTGCATCTTTCATTGAACTTGTATTTCGTAACACGAGAGCCTAATTCAACCACAGCCTGTATACAGAAATATATGAGAACTCTATGCCCGCAAATATCGAAAAGGGGAAGGCCTCCCCGCATACTGTTGAGAGCGCCATTACATCGTCAATAACGCTCAAACCAACGCCTCCCCTGAACTCATCCCTCCAGGTGCCATCGCGGCATTCGCCATGCTATCAACTAATCTCTTGTCCTGCTCGCCATCCTGGATGAAGACATATAAAACAACCAAAAACTGCACAGATTCAATCACATTTCCTACCTGCTTCTTCCTCCATACAAACACACACAGACATACACTCGTTTCCCTTACTACAACCCCTCAACCCACCTATCACGATGAAGCCCTCCTTCATCCTCCCCGTCGCAGCCCTCGCGGGCTCGGCCCTCTCCGCCGCCGTGCCCCAATCCCAGGGCCTGGTCCCCGTCCTCGTCCCCGAGTTCAGCAACGCCGCCTTCACCCCCGCGGACCGCGAGGACGCCGACAAGGCCTACTCCGCCCCCGGCACCTACCTCGACGGCGAGGAGGCCGCCTACCTCGCCTCCGTCGACCTCGACACCGAGGGCGCCGCCGCCTGGGCCAGCGTCCACGCCGACCTCCGCGCCGCCCTCATCGCCAACACCCACGTCACCAACTTCACCGCCGCGGACGCCGACCCCTACCCCGTCACGCTCAAGTGGGCCGGCGCCCACGTCGAGAACCAGAACAAGAACAAGACCGCGGAGCTCGAAAAAGGCAGAAAGGCTGCCCTTGGGATCGGAGCGCTAATCCTCTTTCTCTTTAAACCCGTCCTTGGGGTCCTCGCGGCGGTCCTCGCCAACAATGGCACCCAGCCCACGGGCGGCCGCCCCAAGATCCCTGACTTCCACGTCGGCCTCAACGCCGACGGCGTCTGCAGGTATTTCCAAGGCGCGGCGTGGAAGGCCCAGGAGCTCCGCAGGCCCGTGGAGCAGTTCTCGCCCGAGTACGTCCCGTGGCTGGTTGAGAACAAGGGCCCTTACATCGTGAGAGCATTCCTCCCCCTGGTGTTGATGTCCAACGGCTAAAAGTCTGATTAGTATGTCCTCGACGGCCTCCGCGAGATCGAGTGGACCTTCTGGACGCTCGGCCGCGCCCTCGAGTACACCTCCTCCTTCACCGAGGAGGAGCAGTTCAAGATTGCTCGCTGCGCCACCCTCGTAAGCCCACCTCAACACCCCGCTCCGCTCCGTGAAAGCTAACAAAGCCCCCCCAAAGTTCGCCGGCTCCAACCTCCAACTGACCACCGTCCCTCAACTCCCTCCCACGGGTCCCGGACCAGCCGTCCCTCCCCGGCCCCTCCCCGCCACGTCTAGGAACACAACCGTCCGCCCGGCCCCCGTTCCTCAAACCACCTCCCTCTCCCCCTCCCCGACACCCACCATCCTCCCCCGCGACAACGAGGCGGAGGCCGTCAACGTGCTCAGGCACACGCGCCTCTTCGGCTTCCGCTCCCTCCTCCGCCTGCTCGAGGAGAAGGCGCCCATCTCAAAGTACCAGACGTACGCCAACGTCCGCATCATCCGCGTTCTCGAAAACCTGGGTTTCTCCCTCGACAGCGTCCGCACCTCGGTCGACCGCAAGCTCGGCACCGATGCCAAGGTTTACTTGATCCGCGGCGATTACTTCAACATGTACGAGCAGTTTGGCCGGACGGTTGGGGCCTTTGAGCGCAACCTTTGAATGCGACCGCCCACTGGTTTCCCTCAGATGAGAGAGGAGGGGGGCGTGTTTGGGAAGCCCAGAGAACGTAAACTTTTGCCCACGTCGTGGAGGGTATCTGGTTCGTCCCGTTGTAAGAGCCGAAAGATGTCTCGCCGTGTTTTGGTTTACTCGGGGTGAAGAATACTGGCGCAGTGGCGCTAGTATCTGTAGTCGCGGTAATAAAATGTCTATTTCTGTATCCTGGTCCTCCGAGTTTGATGACGCCCTATCCCAAAACATCGTACCCAATGGTGTGCCTCTATCAATACCGTCTCGCACCGTTCTCGTAAGCTTTAGTTCACAAGGGTGCCGACTTACTACGTAGAGCCGCCGCTGCGGTTTTGCCCAACAAGCCCAGCCATCTCCAACAACCCGCGATCAGCGGCGATGTCACCCGATCCGAGGTTGATCTTCCTCCGCGCTTCCGCTTCCCGAGCCTCCCACGCCCATCGCTCTGCCTGTGCCTTGGCCTCCTCGTCCCCACCGCATCCCCAGACCTCGAGGCTCTCGATCTCGAATCTGTCCTGGAAGTCAAATTTGCGGGTCACGCTCGTCTGGAACGCGCCGCCGCCTGCCGTCCAGTCATGTGTGAACACGCCGTACACAAAAGAGTCGTCTAACAAAAGGGATACCGAGCCGAGGGACATCATTGTATTTCGTCGGTGTGCCTGCGTCGATCTTGGGTGAGGACATCCGACTCCCAGCATGGGCCGGTTGGCTGGCTGCTTGGTGAAAGAGACGTAGTCTGAGTTGTATTTCGACGCTGGGAAGACGTCGTGGATAGGTTCCAATTGAAACAGAACCGTATCCCTCTCGCCGAAGCATTCCTTCGAAGTATGCTTCCAAGGTGTGCTGAGATACACACCGAAGGTGAGACGCTCTCCTTTGCTGCCATGAGGGAAGCGGCGTGGGGGTATTGATGCCGCAAACGTTGCTTCCTGGCCACCCTGGGGTTCATCGTTGATGCGGCTGCCACGGACGAGAAGGATCGTTGGTGCTCTCCAGTTGAACACCTTGGTTTCGAAGCTGCCCATGGAAAAGCCCGCGTCGTTGCCGGAGTACAGGAGCCTCAATCGGCGGAAGAGGTCCGAACCCGGGATGAAAAAGGACAGTTGCGAAAGGACGTTCAGGTTCATGATGTCTGAGCTGTCCTGGAGCAAAGGCTGTACGACCTCTTCGGGCTGTTTCTCTGCTGTCGGGTCGTCGCCCTTGTGTTTTGAAAAGTCGAGGTTCTTGGAGAATAGAAAGTGCTCGAATAAGGGGTTGAAGCCGTTGAAGAGATACGGAAAGCAAACGGGTATCACGCGGTTGAACTGGCTAAACTTGATTCCAGGTGCTTTTTCGACATTCAAAAATGCGGCCAGAATGTTCTCTGCGGTCGAGCGGAGGCTTTCGAGCTCATCGCCAACGACGCGGGTCGCAAACATTGACAGCCTCTCCTGAGGACTCAGAGGAGCTATGAGAATGAGTAGCATGAGGAGCTTGCGGAAGTTATCGGCTGGTATCATGGCTCCTTGGACCGTTGGGGCATCGCCTTGTCGGACCGCATCGTTGATATCGAGCAGCTCGAAAGCAGCAATCTCGAGGTCATCGTCTTCGTCCTCTTCTTCTTCCACAGGTTCGTCGACGGCGAAGCCAGTGACGTGACTCCTGGCCGGCTCGTCCTTGGCCTCAACCTCAGCGTCCTTGACCTCCTCTTTTGATTCGTCGACTCCAGCAATCGAGGCTTTCCGATCGTACACGGCAAGACTCTTGAACAGAAGCTTCGCCCGGTCTTGGGCCCCCTTTGCTAAAACCTTTTTGTACCTCGCCGTCATGATGACGACCACCATGATCATTTGTTCGAGGCCGAGGACGGCGGGGGCGTCCTGGAGGAAGGGAAAGGCGCCTATGTAGGACACCATCTGGAATATGACGGGCGAGACATGGAGGATGTCGGGTATCTCGAGGAAGCGGGCGATAGTGTCTTCCTTTAGGTAGTGGATGTCGCTCTGCGCATCTGCTAGGCTCTTGAAGACATCCTTAAAGGAGTAGAGCTCGAGGTTGGTGAAGCACTTCTCGGCGAAGCGGCTGGCCTGTTGGTGGTCATGGTCAGCAGTCGTCTCTACGATGCTTCAAGGTGGGTTGGAGGGGCAGAGAGACAGCGACTGACCAGTTCACGGGTGAGCTCCTCGTGCGACAGCTGCCGCGGATTCTCGTCCGACAATGCTTGGCCCATGATGTGGTCGTAATGGGGTATCAATAAGCATCAGTGAAAGTAGTTGCAGTAGTATGGCTTGCCGTGGAGCAGTCATCGACGGCCATGGCCATGTTCTGGGGAAGATGGAGGTAGATGAATGACGGGAGCCTGGGGTGCATGAGCAGCCAACGATTGCATAATGGGAAACCCAGCGCCCAGAGCTCAGCTGCAGGTGTCAGATCAGGACCCCCCTTCCATCCCCCAGGCGCCCAGCGCGTCATGTCTTGGGGGTGACAGTCTGGAGGCCAGGGGGTCAAGCCACTGCGGCGAGTGGACGAAGCGCCCCGCAACGTCACTGGCCCGAGCTCCCCTGCCCCTCCACAGGTGATGATCTCCCGCCCAGAGCATGTTCACGCATAAAATCATCGAGACCTCAGACCACCTGGAACTTCGCAGGGTAACAAGACATTGCTGTTAGTCATTTATGTAACTCGATGACCAATTTACAGTTTATTAGATAACGAGAACCCAAGAGCGTGCGTCAAGTGACTCTGCAGCCAAGCTCTCCATGCAAACCTGCACCATGTCACCGGCCTCATCCAAAACAGATGATCTATTCAAACCAATTGCGCCGCCTATTATTGCCCAGTGCTTTTATGTACGACGGAGGGGAGTCTTCAATGAGACGTCAAGGTCCGTCCTCGATGCCAATGCCATGCCAATACTATACAACGCAGCCGTAAGTCGATGCAACAACAAATCGTCTCTTTCCTCATTTCTTGGGCTCATCCGACGATCCATCCGACGGCTTCCGTCCGTAGAGCTCGCCAATAACACCAAGTGAGCTCTTGGGGTTCTCCTTCTTGTCCTTCTGCCCCTCGGCCGCGGCCGGTGCCTCCGGCGCCGCACCCTCGGCAGGCTTGCTCCAGCCCGACAGACCAATCGCACCCAAAACACCGCCGCCGCTCGCCTTCTTTTCCGTCTCTTCCGCAGCAGCACCGCCGGCACTCCTCGCCTCCGCCTTGGCGCGGCGCTGCTGCATCAGGCTCTTGAGGGCCTTCTCCTCCTCGTCACGGGCCTCGAGCTCGCGGATCCAGCGCTGCCTCTTCTCCTCGGCGTCCTTGGCCTCCTTGATCTTGCGCAGCTCGGCGGTGCGCTCGCGGTCCTTGTTGTAGTACATGCTGCCGGCAATCATGGCGAGAACGGTGAAGCCCTGGGCGGCGACACGGGCGCGGAACATCTTGTTGGCTTGGACGGCATCGCCGCGACGGGTTGCGCGCCAGGCGGCGTAGAAAGCGTAGACGGTCAGACCGCAACCTGGTGGTTGTTAGACTGCGATTGAAAGAAGCAAAGAGAAGCAGACGTACCAAGAGGAATGAGGGGCTCTTCCTTCAGCTTGCGGAAGACCTTGTGCATGATGCGCTCATCGTAGAAGTCACTGTTGGCGGGGTCGACGGTTAGCAACGCTTGGGGTCTGAGCTGTGGTCCCTGCTCGCGTGCAGCTTACTTGTTCTCGTCAAAGGACGAGGGCATCTGCCTGTCCATGACTGGAAGTCTGTCGTCGCCGGGCATGTTTGCGAGAGTGCGATTGGGTGTTCAACTCGTTGTGCCGGGGTGGTGGTTGTTGACTTTTTGAGGTCGCAGAGTCGGCAGCGCAGTCATGCGATTTGCAGTGGTCGGCGAACTTCGATGATGAAATGGACTCTCGGGCCCTTTGATTTTCGGGGTCTGGCGGGCAGCTGGCTGGACGCGCCGCCGGAGCTCGACCCTTGAGCACATTTGCGGCAAATCCCGGCACTTAGGACTGCTTAGGTAACCAAGCAATTGTGCCTTCCACCTCTTAATTAAGACATCTGCGCTGAAACCTCAGGCAACACGAATGGCAACTGCCGCACGGACCAAGCATTCAGAGTTGAGGTCACAGTGGAACTCAATCATCGCAATTCATTGAGTGAGTCTCTAATAGTGGATTTCACGATCCATCTCTACCTCATGACCAATTGCTCAGTGTCACTTCAACAATCAACTCAATTGCATTCCCTGGAACACATACAGTACAAGTTACTAAGGATTTACTTAGTAACACCTACCAACTCATGCTGAGTCACAATTCAAGAGGTTGGACAAACTCAATTTGGAGACGCAAACCAACCGATGTCGCCCAGAGACCCAGCCAAACGCAGGGGAACGGCAGCCGGCCTGCTGGCACCGCAGCACGAACAGGGGTCCTCCAGCCAATCCCAGCGCCGCCAATAGCGCACCTCACCGCAAAAACCGTCCGATTTCTACCCCGCGACACCGAATTGAGCTCCGATGTGTGCCCCACTATGAACAAATTTCCAGTTTAATCCAGGCCATCGCTGTCGGTGACTCTTCGCCCAGGCCATTTCTTTTAGTTGAAGCCTCCCGGCCACGATTGTTGTCGTCGCCGACTCAGTCCCGTCCTCTCGTTCATCCTGCAACAATCCTCCTCACCACCATGTCCGAGTCGACCGAAACCCCCGTCGTCGCCGTCATGACAAACGGCACCCTCAACGGCGTCAATGGCGACCACGCGCCCCGACCTCGCACCCCGCAGCCCAGCGGCATGTCCCTGACCGAGTACAGCGCCAACCCGTCCACGCCGCCGGAGGAGAAGCGCAACCGCATCAAGACCGTTGTCCCGGAGGACTACCTCCTCCCTGATGGCAACCCAGACGTGAGAAACATCTTTACGGCCCTCAATGGCTGACTGGGAGAGAAACTAACCCGCAGTCTTCACAGTACCTCCGTCTCATCGCCGCCGCAACCTCCCGCGTGTACGAAGCCTGCAAGGTCACCCCCCTCCAGCCCGCCGTCAACCTTTCCAACCGCCTCGAGTGCAATGTCCTCCTCAAGCGCGAGGACCAGCAGCCCGTCTTCAGCTTCAAGCTGCGCGGCGCCTACAACAAGATGGCCCACCTCGACCCCGCCGTCAGCTGGAAGGGCGTCGTCTGCTGCTCCGCCGGCAACCACGCCCAGGGCGTCGCCTACTCGGCCCGCAAGCTCAAGATCCCGGCCACAATCGTCATGCCCGAGGCCACCCCGAGCATCAAGCACCTCAACGTCGCCCGGCTCGGCGGCCACGTCGTCCTGCACGGCGCCGACTTTGACGCCGCCAAGGAGGAGTGCACCCGCCGCGCCGCCCAGGACGGCCTCATCAACATCCCCCCCTTCGACGACCCGTACGTCATCGCCGGCCAGGGCACCATCGGCATGGAGCTCTTTGGCCAGATCAACATGTCCAAGCTCGACGCCATCTTCTGCTGCGTCGGCGGCGGCGGCCTCATCTCCGGCATCGGCGTCTACGTCAAGCGCATGGCCCCCCACGTCAAGATCATCGGCGTCGAGACCTACGACGCCAACGCCCTCGTGCAGTCCCTCGCCAAGGGCGAGCGCGTCGTGCTCGACAACGTCGGCCTCTTCGCCGACGGTGCTGCCGTCAAGACCGTCGGCGAGGAGACGTTCCGCATCTGCAAGGACGTCGTCGACGAGGTCGTCCAGGTCACCACCGACGAGGTCTGCGCCGCCATCAAGGACATGTACGACGACACCCGCGCGGGCCTCGAGCCCGCCGGCGCGCTGTCCATCGCCGGCCTCAAGAAGTACACCGCGCAGCACCCGAGCGACCGCAAGCGCACCATGGTTGCCGTCACCTCGGGCGCCAACATGAACTTCGACCGCCTGCGCTTCGTCGCGGAGCGCGCGACGCTCGGCGAGGGCAAGGAGGCCCTGCTCGCCGTCAGCATCCCCGAGCGGCCCGGCGCCTTCGCCAACCTCATCAACACCATCATGCCGCACTCGGTTACCGAGTTCTCGTACCGCTACGCGACCGAGGAGGTCGCCAACGTGCTCATCGGCATCTCGCTCACGGCGCCGGCGTCGCAGCGCACGCAGGAGCTGCAGACGCTCCTCGAGCGGCTGCGCGCAAGCGACATGGCCGTGACGGACCTGTCCGGCGACGAGCTCGCCAAGAGCCACATCCGCTACCTCGTCGGCGGGCGCTCCAACGTGCCGCACGAGCGGCTCTACATGTTCAACTTCCCCGAGCGCCCCGGCGCGCTCGAGAAGTTCCTGCGCACGCTGCGCCCCAAGTTCAACATCAGCCTGTTCAACTATAGAAACTACGGCGGCGACGTGGCCAAGGTGCTCGCGGGTATTGTCTGCCCCGACGACGAGGTCGCGGATCTCGAGACGTTCCTGACCGAGATTGGATACCCGTGGGAGGACTGCAGCCAGTCGGGCGTTTTCAAGACTTTCCTCCGAAGCTGAGGGGGGGAAGAAACCTCCGAATTATTCTGTTCATAGACATTTGCTTCTGGTACATGATTCGGTTCGGCGTCGGGAGTTTTTAATGAGGCGAGCTGGGGGTCCAAAAAGGTAGACATTGGACAAAAGGAAGAGCATCATTATAGAGAAAAGTGTTCAATCATTTTTAAGCAGTCTGAATGAGTCCCATTGATCTTTCTAAGTATGTCTTATTGACGATGGCGGATGCCCCACCGGTCTCGATGGCGTTGTGAGTTATCACTGACGGTCGATTGCTTGCGCGAAGTGATCTCAATATAAACCTACACATAAAAGAGATTAATTTTCAAAGACGACTGCTTGTCCACGATCAAATCATGACAGAATACTAAATTAAAGCTGAACCTGTCGTCCGCAGTCCGTCATCAATCCAACTTTTTCATCCGATGTCGCATATCGCGATAACAACCAACACGCGATAAGCGCACAGACATCCACCCACGTGACACACCCAAAAAAGCTCCCGCGATGTCGAAGCCATCCAGGTCATTCAACATCGTCGTCGTCGTCGTCGCCAGCGGAGCCTCCCAATCGACCACGATCTCGCCGTCCCGTCGTCTGCCACAGCCTGCAGTCGACTTCGAAACCACGAGCCGCAATCACCAAGCGCACCGAAACACAAGAATGGCCTCCCTCGCCGCCTCATTCAGGGCGCTGTCCCTCGCGACCGCCCGCCCGCAATGCTGCGCCGCCGCCGCCGCGAAGCTCGTCGTTGCGGGCTCCATGCGCGCCAACATGTCGACGGTGATTATGACGAGGCAGCCGATGGCCAAGACCGAGGCGCTGTTTGCAAAGAAGAGCGCCGCTGCTGCTGTTGCGGGCGCGGTGGCGCAGCAGACGAGGGGGATGAAGGTGCATTCTTCGGTGAAGAAGAGGTGTGAGCATTGCAAGGTGAGCTCTTTTTCTTTTCTGAAGTTGGGGGAGGGTGGGATGCTGGGGGACTGGGAGAGGGGAGGAGGAGAGGTGGCGTGATGTGTTGGAAGGAGGAGACGGGGTCAAGATGTAGGCGGAAGAAGGACCAGTTTCTGGGGAAAACGGCATGGACATGGGCTAATGGGATGTTTCTTCACAGATCGTCCGCCGCAAGGCCGGCAAGAGACACAACGGATACCTCTACGTCATCTGCAAGGCGAACCCGAGACACAAGCAGCGCCAGTCGTAGTCGAACGAGGGCGGGGTTGGGGGGTGATTGTGTACACTACGGAGGCAGATTGGTGCGAGGACGTGTTGCTGCATAGATGAGGCTGCGACGCAGCCCCTTTACTTCACGAGTTTGGGGTCATGCGATGAGAGGGAAGAAGAAACGACCGTCACGGAGAATAGACGCATTGAGGCAGAGGCCTGTTGTATTATACAGATCGGGATACTACAAAAAGTACAACTAAACTCTACATTCCGTCAATGTACCGCTCCATGCCCTGGAACTCTGTTTTGCCGGTTGAGATGAGGTAGCGGATGTGGTTCTGGGTTGGGGTTAGTGTTTGAATGTGCTTGCCAGAGATGATAGAGACGGAGAACGACAGAGACGGAGAGAGACAGAGACGGAGAGAGATGGACACAGAGATAAAGACAAAGACAGAGAAAGAGACGAAGAGAGAAAGAGATAGAGACGGAGACGCAGAGAGAGAAAGAGATCAAGGTGGGCGTACAATATCCGTCACATCTCTGTGACGCTCAAACTCATCACGGGCGTAGCGGCGGGACTCGGCGCGGGTGGTCGGGTCCGCGATGCGTTGTGTGCCGCGCAGGATTTCGCGGTAGAGGGACAGGGCGCGGGAGCGCTGGAGGAACTGTATACTCGTCAAAATCCATGTGCTTACCATCCAATTTGCGCCTTGTGTGTTGAAATTTGCAGGGCTATGTATGTCAGATGCATGAGAGTTGGGAACGGCAACATACATGATCCAGACTCAGCGTCTTCCCGAGGCGCGACTTGGCCGGGCCATTGGAGTAGCTGCGGATAGCGGACCACAGGGGGTTGAAGGGGGGCATTGGTGCCGCGGTGAAAGGGCGACTACATCTGAAGCCTTTCGATGATGGTCTCAAGTGAGCCTCTGGCTTGGCCTCTCCGGGTCAGCGAATGGTGGATGAGTATGGAAACTTTTTGGGTGGATGAGGTCAGGACGGGGAAACTTCGGGAGTGTGCCCCCTGGAGGGGATGTAGTGCCCCGCGGCCCGGGTTTGATGCTTGCTTTAGTGGACGCGTCGGGGCGCGTTCAGCGAGTTGGGATTCTGGGATTACAGCGAAGCGAAAAGGGAGGACCTGAGTAAGGTCACGGATCCTTTATCTTTGGCAGGGAGAATATTTTTCAGGATTTCAAGTTCTATATGAATTTGTCTTTTGTCTCATCGCCTTACCTACTTTGGTCTGTTGGTGTCCAAAAGCTCAAGATGCCCGTCAAGCGGCGGAGGGCGCCTACAAACCCCATCGAGTCCGCGAACCGCAAGACGGACGAGGACTTCATCAGAGACCATCTGCGGCAACCCAGGTTCGTGTAGCACACTATCATCACAGCTATGGACGACGCACTTACCGTTGAATAACACGACAGCGCAGACTGGACATCATGGACGCACCCCGCGACCAAGAAGGCGTACACCCTCGCGCTCAAGTCGCCGGCCAAGATGTCCGTCGACGAGATGCAGGCGTGCTTCGACATGGTGGAGTACACTAGCGGCGCGGACTACCGCGCGTCGTCGTGGGGGTGGAAGCCGGCGGCGAAGATCAAGGAGATGCGGAGCCCTGAGCTGCGGTACGTGCTCGTCAAGGAGGGTGACAGCGAGAGGTTGTGTGGGTTCACGAGTCTGATGCCGACGTTTGAGGAGGGCGAGGCGGTGGTGTATTGCTATGAGATTCACTTGTTGGAGAAGCTGCGGGGGTAAGTTCTGCTTTTTTTGTGGTGGTGTTTGGCTCGTGATGCTTGAAATTTGCTGACGGTGATGTAGCACGGGAATGGGCCGCAAGCTGATGGACTACCTCGTCGCCGTCGCGGAGAGCATACCCATCGTGGAAAAGGTGATGCTGACGTGCTTCGTGGCCAACGAGGCGGCGCGGGGGTTCTACGAGAAGCTGGGGTTCGAGAGGGACGCGACGTCGCCGTTCGAGAGGACGTTGCGGTTTGGCAAGGTGTTTGTGCCGGACTATGTGATTATGAGCCGAAAGATTCAGCGCCGCGAGGGCGGACAGGTTGAGGCCGAGGTTGATGGGGTGAAGAAGTCCAAGAGGAATGATTCATGATGCATGTTCTCTGCTTTCTTCACCCGATTAGGGAAGTTCATGAGATACCAAGATACAGCGAATATTCGAATTCGGAATCGATAGACGGACTAGTCTGGTCCTGCAGATTCGCTCGTTGATTTCGGGCAATGGTGGTGGGTTGAGGTTACACACAGCCAACTGAGGCTGAGAAGGAACCACACACAACTACTGCATGGGTCGGGAATAAGCTCGAGCAGGCCAAGTCCCAAGTGCCATACCGCGAGCAATTAACAGTGGGTTTTTATTTGCTTTGCCCGCCCTGCAGGTGGACATGCCGTGGGCGGCGGCAGGGAAGCTGAGCCTAAAAAGTACCTCACCTCTCGCTTCCACGGCTGAGCATTCCTTCATTCCACCTCACCCACTTGGCAGGACCTGACTTGCTCTGGCGGCGACGATCACAGTAAGCGCTGTCGAGGGAATTGTCCACTTGGAGTAAGGCGACGAACTCCGGGAATCCTGCCTGCCGAGAGTTTATTCCCTTGAAGACTTGGTGCTGTCGAGTTAAGGCTGTTTCTTCACTTCAAGACAAGGTCAAACGGCAGCCGACTCTCTCGCCCCAAAAGGGGTTGATGCTCTGGATCATGTTACACAAGACTCATCTTACCACATGCCAGCTGCTCACCTCAGAAAATTACTCAAGCCAGTTTTGGGCTGACTTGCTGAAATCTGCAAATGGAGAAAAAGGAAAGGGAAGGACTTTCACTTCCACCCCTGCATCAGCGTCCCCAGCTACACAGCCCGCCAAGCTCAGCCTTAGGACGCCATCGCTTCCTAGCGGCGCCCCTCCAGCTGCTGCCTCCCACGTCTTCCACCCATATTGCCTATCATCACAGCAAAATAGGTAGAAAGCCACAGGGGCGGGCTCGCCAGGCAGACTCCAATTGACAGTCTGTGAACAGTGAAGGGTCTGATCGCAGCGGTCCTCTCCGCCGATCTGGTTCCGCACCACGAGAGCGCCATATGGGACCGACAGGAAGGATTCAGGCATCGACATATGGCATGAGACGAAGCGGCCGGCAAACATGCCACCACGAGCCCCGTCTCTCCAGACGCCGATTGGGGCGCCATCTAACGGTTTAGTGCGGACCTTTGGTGTTGAGGTAAAAAAGTTGGCTGAATCTTTTCATTGACCCTCCGGCTCAGCTGCTGGCCAGGGTGAGAAGCTTGGTGTGACGTTAAACCGCTTCCGGTCCATTTCTCGAGCTTCACGCAGGCGTTGCCCAACTGTTTAACTCCCCTCCCCCTTCTGCATCCGTCTGGTTGGTCTTTCCCACATGATTGTCTCATTTCCTTCCTCCTTGGCTGCTTTGCTTCATTAGCTCCTTCCCGTTTTCAAACATAGCCACCTCTGGGGGCCGATTCATATATCAACGTGTCCCCCCCCCCCTTGCATCTCGTTCCCAATCCGTCTGAACGACCTCATTTTCCTGCCGTCTGCATCATTACAATACCTCGCTCGCCTTTCCTATACGCTGCTCAGGTCATCACCGTTACAGGTTTCAACGCTCCTAGACCAACGCCATTATGGATTACCAGCAACAGCAGCAGCAACAGCAGCAGCAACAGCAAATGCAGCCGAACCCATATGAGGGCCAGCCCCAGCAGCAGCCCATCCAACAGGAGTACACCCAGGGCGCCGCCGTCCAGAACCAGGAATGGCAAGCAAGCTTGTGCAGCTGCTCGCCCATTGACAGCTGCTGCTTGGCCTACTGGCTACCATGCATCCGTACGCCTCCCTCACATCTGCTGACGCACGCCTCTCGTCGACGACGGCTCTTTTCCTCATTGATCAACTATGACTAACACCATCCCACAGTCATTGGCAAGACCACAGAGCGCATGCGCGACCCCACGATGCAGACGTACGAGGCCATCAATACGGACTGCCTGCTCTATGGTGCTATCCAATGCTTCACCGGTTGCGGGTGGATCTACGCGCTTATGAAGCGCGGCGAGATCCGTGAGCGCTTCGGCATCAAGGGCTCTGGCGCGAGCGACTGCTGTGTGAGCTACTGGTGCTGCTGCTGCGCGCTCATCCAGCAGGATAACGAGGTCAAGGCCCGCCTGTCTACGGGACCTATCGTCCAGGGGTACCAGCCGCAGAAGGAGGGCATGCACATGCCGCCGCAGCAGCCGCACAACTAAGCGGGATGGTAAACTTGTACGATCAAACGAGGTTGTCTGAAAGTTGGCGACGAGGGATGGTGCTGCTTGGCTTTCTTTTTGTTCATGGACATGGTTTAAGGATATGGGATACCCGATGGATTGGGGCAACCACAGGCGACTGGATGGAGTCGTCGGGGCACGCACTTACCTATAAGAATTCAAGTATAATAATTCGAGGAAGAGCTTATTGGCCCGTCTGGCATGAGACACAGCTATGAATCACTTCAGGTTCCTCGTCTGATTGTTGACGCGTTAGATCGAACGTCGGCTCCAACGCAATGGATCGTCGATACAAAGCAATCTTTGCACCATCCAGTCCATAGCATTGCTGTGAGGGTATATATGTGGGGGGATAAGTTTCAGGGACGACGATGAGAGACGACGACCATCACAGCGATGACATATATCACATCAGCGACGACGAAAATATGGACGTAGGTGAAGTTGCCTCCTACAAGAATAGGGTTCACCAGCAGAGAACAGTCCATCAAGGCGTAACCCGTTGCCGGGGACGTACTTCTGATTCTAACTGCCATACGCCAGACGCTGGCCCCCCTTGTAGGCGCCGAGGATGGATATCCGGAGCAGCAACAGTGAAGCTGAGCTCGTTGTCCTGGGCGGTGATGATGCCTGCAACGGAGGTTCGATGGCCCTGGTAGGTATCGATGGGGTCAAAGTCAAGCTGAGTGAGGTGCATCAGAGCTTGGCAGGAATTTGAGAACCTCTCTCGACCATCACGAGGTGGCGGGCAGAGTTTACCGGCAGGGCCGCTCACATGGATACCAACGGGTTGTTCAGCCATGTGATACTAAGCGATGGTCGACAGAGGTTCTCAACTGCTTGTAGGTGTACTCCTCAACCGCCTATCTTTCATATATTCGAAAACATCAACTTATCAAAGCTTCAAAACAGAAGACGATGAAGACGATGCGCAGCCTCCTCTCCAAGCTCCAGGGAATCACCCCCGACCCCTCCCCGACCATCCGCTTCCGTCGCGATCTCGTCCCCCACAGTCCCCCCCAGCATCCCCACCGGCTACGACACATCATGGCAAACCCGCCGGCTCGCGAACTACTCGTCCAACCCCTTGCTTCGCCTCCCCAACGAGCTGTTGCTGGAGATCACGGAGCGCCTCCCGCCGCCGGACCTCTACGTCGTCCGGCAGGTGTCGCACCTCTTCGCGGCGCTCTTCCGCTACGCCGCGTTCTCAAAGTACCACCAGCAAACCGCGGCGATCGACCCGGCGACGGCGGAGCCGAGCGTGCACCGGCTGCTGCGCGCCCATCGCAAGCTCAGGGGCAAGACGGCGCCAGCTATCCATTTCATCCCGGGGGTCGAGTTTAACTTGGACGCGCTGCGGGTGGAGGAGCGGGATGGCCTCCGGTATGGTTTGCAACGGAGGACGTTTTGTGCGCTATGTTTGGCTGGTAGGAGTCAGGAAAGGCAGGGTATCTACCCGCTCTACACCCGGGGGGGACAGGTACGTTGCATGCGCCGCTTGCAAGTGCTCCCACCATCCAAGCTGGTTCTCCCCCGCCGAACGACAGCGTCGGGACCGAATCTGCATCGGATGGGAAGGGATGCTGCGGATCTGCCCGCACAACCTGATTTCTTGGCCACGTGTCCAGGGCTGGATTGGCGTAGAGTCCAGCAGAAAGAGGTCTGTCTTGCGTTGCCGGCAATGCGCCGATGCGATCGGGCGACACGGCGAGGCCCCTGAAGTCACCTATGAACCCTCGCGGACGGGGGATGCCGCAGGCAAGTTGAGGCTTGGATGGAAGGCGCCTGTTTACACGTTATCGAGCTGGGAGATCCTCACCAAGGATGATATACGTAGAGCGCTGAAGCGATTCGACCAGCGGCATGAGGGACTGCTGTGCCCGCACATCTCGTTCGATTTGGAAAAGCTGATGAAGGTGTTTTACTGGCACCGGCGTGTCTGCTTCAGGCAGCCGTCGGCCTTGTCGCTGGAGTACCACAGGAGCGACGAGAGAGACGGAATATCGTGCCTTTGCTGCGCAGCCAAGAACACTGCCGACGCAAGGCGCGTGGGCAGGTTTCCGATATCGTCGATTTATAGCATGTCGCGCCACTACATGTTGTGTCGTCAGTGCTATTACCGTTACGAGTGGATATCAGACGGCAAAAGGATTCACTTGCGCGGGTCTCTGCACTCGATAGGCGCCACCTCCGAGATCTCGACGGATGAAAACGGGCACATCAACAGACGGAGGCCCTCGAGTGACTGGCTGAGGACGATGGATCCGTCGACGTATCGGCAAACGGAGGAGTGGCGGCATTTGAAATGGTGTCCGGATAAGTCCTGTGCGAATTCAACCAACAGGAGCACTTGGTATTGACGTGGAGCGTTGCCCGAGAGTATGTCTGCGTGGGGTAGGTTGTCGTTCTTGAATCAGTATTACTGTAAGAGGTCCAGCGCAAGTCGTTCCGATGGAGAGAGGTCTAGCTATTCGGGCGGGTAGGTCTGGTTCCCCGACCACATCGTGACTATGGACGACAAGGGTGACCACAAGGATAACGACATGGCGAAAAGTCTAGGGAGAATTATGACCATAAATGGTTGAGATAATTCATAATCTAGTTGTAAGATTGTGTATAAATGTCATGGTATCCGTATCCAAACCTTCCAACGCCAGTGTTATGCTGAAAAACATCGCTGATCCAAAAGACTTGGCCATCCGTCTAATCATCTAATTCTCATCTCTTACCAATTGAAGCTCTCCTGGAAATATTCGATCCTAGAATACCCCCGTCCAAGCATCTCAACAACGCTCTTCCGCGCGTCGTCAGCCATGACGTTCGGCCCGCACGCCACGACCGCGAGCCGGCTCTTCTCCGCGGCGGTCGCGGCGTCCTGCACCTCCTCCCTTACGTCCGGGCGTCCGTACATCAGCCTGACGTGCTCGGGCCAGTCGTCGGGCCGCACGGCGTTCGTCGCGAGGCTCGTCTGCGTGACGTATATATCCACGGCCAGCTTCCCGCTGTCGAGCGCGTCCTCGAAGTCCTGGCGGAGGACGTCGGCGGCGAAGCTCAGCTCGCGGACGGCCCAGACGATCTTGACGGAGCGGGCGCGGGAGGCGGCGCGGCAGAGGTGCTGGAGGTGCGCGAGGGGGACGACGACGCCGCTGCCGCCGACGACGAAGAGCAGGTCGTCGAACTGGGAGAAGGGCTGGGTGTGGCCGTAGGGGCCCTCGACGAAGACGCGGAGACGGGCGGGGCGCGGCCAGGGGGCGGCGGCGGCTTCGCGGAGGCGGGCGGTGAAGCTGTCGTAGGGGCGGATGAGGAAGGTCATGGAGGGGGTGCCGGTGCGGGGGTGCAGGTCGACCTCGGACATGGGCTCGACGGGGTTGTCGTCGGAGGCGACGAGGAGCGGGGTCTGTTCGGAGGAGAACTTGCGGGTGTGGTGGGTGTTGAGGGTGGTGCAGGCCATGGTGAAGGGGTGGCTCTCCCAGGCGCGCTTGTCGGAGAGGACGTGGAGGTAGTAGTAGGTGCCGGGCTTGGGCTCGTAGAAGGAGTTGGGGTAGGGGATGCTGAGGCGGACGATGTTGGAGGTGGCGTCGTAGGTTGCGAGGGCGAAGGTGTTCCAGAACCTGAGGTTGAAGGCGAGGGTGCGGGACATGCGGAGGAGGCGGTCGGCGACCCAGATGTAGAAGGGGATCCAGAAGAGCATGTCGAACTGGTGGTTGAAGATGGAGACGTGGCCGAGCATGGTGACGAGGGTGAGGATGGAGAGGAGGATGTGGAGGACGAGGAAGAGCTCGTACTGCTTGCGGCGCATCCAGAAGACGGAGGCGACGAGGAGGAAGACCATGCCGAAGGTTGCCTGTTGGGGTTAGCGATGGACGAGTTCATGATGCGGGACTACTTACAAACCAGCCGGCCCACCAAAACATTTGCGTGAACCACCAGAGGAAGTATGTCCAGCCGCCCTCACTTAGAATGAGGATAACGTAGGCAGCGGTGTGGATGACAGCCTGGACTGTCGCGACGCGAGCAACCCAGCGGTGGAAGTTGTTGTACGTGCCAAAGTCCCAGCCGGTCACCCACATAAGCAGGTTATTCCTCATGCCAAACAGCCAGATGATGGGAAAGTTGGCAAAGGAGATGATGCCGGTTCGGTCGGCGACGTAGCGGCCGATTTGCTTCGACATATCCGGCCAGCTTCTTGAGTCAGTACAGGACTGAGATGGTGAAAAGGGTGGACCTACTACATGTGCCCCGGGAGGAGGGAATAGCCGTAGCAACAGTACCACGTGTTGACGGCGATGAAGGCGAAGATGGTGATGCTCTGGATGCGCGGCGGTATCGTGCACCACCCTAAGTTCTGCGAGCAGCGGTAGCCGAAGGTCGCCGGGATAGTGATGTATCGCTTGAGCCAGAGCGCAGCCCAGTGCAGCGCGTTGGGCTTCTTCTCCGAGTCCCATTCCTGGCGCTGGAGGCTGGCGATGGCTCCGACAAGACGGGTTGCCAGACCAAAAGCGCACACAATGACCCAGAAGACAATAACATAGAATCTGGGATCTTGTCAGCGGTGCTTCGTCGACTCGAGGTGATGCACATACCCATATCGATAATGCCGACTGTAGGTATACTCTACCGATTCCAAAGAATCATACCAGATCTGGTAAAACGGCTCCGCGGGCAGCACAACCTCGTTCAAGACAGTCTCCGCCGTGCCCTCCGCCTTCGTCAGCCTCCTCAGGCCCTTGATCTCCTCCTCTGAGTACCCTCCGATAATCTCCAACGGCGGCAGCGAGACGTTCATGTACTGCTGACATGTCGCGTTCTGCGTGCCCAGCCCAGCATCCCGGTGCGGCGCGTCGCAGTGCAGGTGCGTGCAGAGGTACAGCGACTTGATGTGCAGCAGGCTCTTGCACGATTGCGGGAGCTTCGACTTGGCCGGGGCAGTGTCGTTGAAGTGCGGCTGGCGGATGGTGTTGACGCAGGCGTCGTAGCAGAGGCCGCCGACGGACACGGTGGAGGCGGCGACGGAGGTGGCGAAGAGGAGCGCAGTTGCGGCGACGACGGTGAGATTGAGGCCCGGTCCTCGTCCTCGTCCTGTCGCCGAGGACGGCGATGACCACGGTGCTCGCATCACGGTCGGGAGCTTCGCATCTGGTCGCTCGGGCCGTTGGCGGGGGTTGCTGTGATGTGCGAGCTGTTGCTATGCGACGGCGATGGTGATGATGCGAAATTGCCTTTAGAGGGGTTGGTTGGAAGTGTCTGGTGCGAGTTGCAAGGGGACGCAGACGCAAAGACTGGGCGGCTCACGGCAAGTGGGAAAGAAAAGGCGAGGTGAGGTGCCTCGGGAGGGACAGCTCGGTGCTCCGAGGGGTTGAGAGAAAATGGTACTGAAGGATTCGGGGGTGGGAAAGTGGTGAAATTTAGGATCTTATCAGATCATCTGATTAAGCGTCCCCACTGGCTTAGGTTATCGCGATTATCCACCGGCATCGGCACCAGCCCGTGACCTGGCCCCTCTGTGCCGGGTCACCCCTTGAAATGGTGTAGATGCTGCTGTAGTGTGTGGTGATGCTGCGTGACACTCGTGGAGGAGCTGCCTTGGCTGGGCGAAAGAGGAGGGGCTCTGCCTTAAAAAGGGCGGCTATTAACCCACCTGACGCTGGCCACGCAGCGTGTTGTCTCACTGTGAGAATCCAACGCATGCATCCCGCCGGCCGCTGCTTTTGGGCCCCGCCGTTTCCGAGACTTAACTTTCATAAAAAATGCACTCAAACACTCTCAGAGAAAATAGTTTTTGCAATCAGCGCCGGCTACTGCGCTCAAACGTCCGATAATGCCCTCTGAAAGTAAGGCCCGTGATACGCGGGACCACCCGCTAAGCTTTCGGGAGCCCGGCTATCAGGCGGGAGACCTGCGCTTAAAGTCACCCGCCATCACGGAACTCACTAGGGCATTTTTCTCCCTCCAAACGAATTTCTGGCTCTTCAATTCCATCTCCTAATGCATCCTGCATGGAATTCATCGAGTACCACTCTGTAAGTCAAGCAGCGACGATCCATCAAATGCCCCCTCAGTCCACTCCCGGGAGCAGCAACCGAGCAGGGCCTACCCTTGGAGGACCGCTGTGACTTCAGCGGTGCCCGCTCTCCCCCGCCGGCGGTTCAGGGACCTTCCCTCCCGCGCTTCCGTTGACACATCACCACCCGCCGAGTCGGAACCGCCGCACCTCCGATGTTCGTCCCATTCTCAACCACACGTCACCAGCAATTTTCGTCCAGACAGCACAGAAAGATTTGGTATGGATGGTTGAGAATTCTCGGGTGTGAGTCACCGCGACCGACCTAAATAACGCAACTGCC